GCATTGTATGGACGACGGTGCGGATCCCTAATCCACTAGGATGATGCAGGGGGAAGAAAGTTAGTAGGGCCAAAATTGGTGCAATAGACAACCGAGGTGGTGGAGAAGATTCGTCAATGGATGAAGATGGCCTAAAATAGACAAAAAAGCTACACCGACAAGAGGAGAAAGAATCTTTAGTTTGCAGTTGGTGACTATGTTTTCTTAAGGGTTTCACCGATGAAGGGCGTATCGCACTTTGGGACTAAAGGCAAATTGAGTCCGTGATATATTAGACCGTTTGAGATACTTGATCACATAGGCGATAGGGTGTATCGATCGTTATTACCACCATTCTTAGTACATGATGTCTTTCATGTGTCTATGTTAAGAAAATGTATTAGAGAGCCTAGCCAAATTCCGGAGATAGCATTGCCGAACTTGACCTCGGACTTAACATACGAGGAAATACCAATTCGGATTTTAGATATGCGAGTTAAACACTTAAGGAATAAAGACATTGCCCTAGTTAAATTTTTATGGGAGAATCATAACCTTGAATAAGGGACTTGGGAATGGGAAGCGGAAATGAAAGATAAATACTCGGATTATTCGAGTAAGTCAAATTTCGAGGATGAAATTTCTTTTAAGGAGTGGAGAAATGTAACTCTCGTGAAACTCCTTAACTACATAGCTATACGTACTAAAATATTTATATTGGCATATATTGAGTCTCTCTCGTGATTTCTATGTCATTTTCCTATTTTGTGATGTTCACATGTATAATGTGTATGAGACCTTATAGGATGCATATCGAGTAACCTAGCTAGTTATCATTTATTTTCTTTAACATTTATTAAAACGTATTATAAAGTGAAAAAAATTATTTAAGGGATGGAGAGTATCGAAATATGGGGGAAAGTCAACAACAACAACAACAACAACAACAACAACAATAATAATAATAATAGTAATAATAAAATAATTTTTAGGCATGCCAAAATTTTAATTCCCCGGAAAAATATCTCCTGGAATATCCATAATTATCTATTGGATGTGGGAGTAATTTATGAAATTTTTTTATATATATGTTATGGTCTTAAAAGATCTAATGTCCATGGAAGTGTTTAAAGAAATAACCTTTTTGGGTATTTAGCTAGTCATTATTTATTTTTTTCATAACAAATATCTAAAAGACCATGCAAGTGAAAGAATCTCCCACACATGGTGCATGGGCTGAATTTTGGGAACTAAATGACCTTAGGAAGTTGGTTAATTTAGTGACTTTTTTTTAGTTCCAAGGTGGATACCTAATCTTCCACCGTGTTCTAATTTGTGCCACCTCACCATTTTTGGAAGTCAAACACGCCACTTACCTCCACCTAGTCCCGATCATTTGACATTTTCTACCATGAATTCTTGACATATGTCATATTCATTAATGAGAGAAAATTTTGTATAAAAGTGTAAGAAATATATCAACTTTGCCATTTTGTTGAGACAAAATGGTAGCTACCAAAGAGAAGGAGAGAAACAAACTTAAGAGGGGAGAGAGACAAAAAAGAAAGAAAAAGGAAAGAAAGAAGAAAAAAGAAAAAAAGGAAAAGTCTAGGCAATGTTTAGGAAAGCTAAAGCAATGTAAGTAGGTTCATGTTAATTTATGTTATGCTCTAAATTTCTTTTATATATGCTTAAATGAGTTGGTTGGTGAAGGCTTTCTATTATGTTGTTTATGTTGGTTTATATTGATTATGTTTGTAATATGTGTTAGATGGCTTGACGTCCATTTAATAGGGAACTTTATGGTTAGTTTGTACATGTATGATGATGGATGACTGGTATTTTGATGTATCCATGTGAGATTTATGTGTGATATATATTTAAATGTGTATGGATGGATTTGTTTTGGATGGGTTTGGTTAAAGCAAAATGGGCTTGGATCTCTTTAGGAAAACATTTGGCCTAGGTACCAAAATGGCCAAAGTTTGGATTTATTTTATAGATCTAAAGATCTAGACCTCCAAGGTAACCTACTTAAGTATAAGTTTAGCATTCACATGATTAAAGAGAAACAAAAATATTGAAAAAAGTTTTGATTTGGAAAATTTTCAATTTTGGAAAGGGTTTCGAAAATAGAAAGTTTTCTAATTTGGAAGTTTTCTAAAATGGACATTTTTCTATTTTAGAAATCGGTTTCTTAGTTCTAAATTTGGAACTTAGTTCAAATTTGGAAGTGAATAACCTAAAATGGAAATGAGTTTCCTAATTTAGGTTAAAGGGTATTTTAAGAAATTTTTTCCTAATGTGAGCCACCTAAAATTATATAAGTTTATTTATTTGAATAGTTCGAATTAATTAATTAGGCCAAAATTGTTTTTGGCCAATAGGTTTAATCAAAAGTCCGAGGATATTTTAGTGGGAGGATAAACATGAACCTTATTGGATAAGAATGAATGTTTTAAAGATAAAGATCAAAAGCCCACATGATAAATAACTCCTAATCCTTAGAGGATTAAGAAGCGTCCTTGTCCTTGGAGGATAAGGAAACTCTCCCCTATAAATAAGAGGAGAGAGATGTGAAAACTACGAGAGATTTTAAGGGAGAGAATTTGACAAAAGAGAAAAATTCTTTAGGGCATACGACGTAAAGGAAATAAAAGGAGAAAATAGTTTTCTTCGAAAAACCCTATCATAAGCCATTCTCCTCTCTTTTTTGGGTTGTTGTAAAATTATCCGGATTAGATTTCTATAGAAAACACTAAACAAATCAAAAAAGGTGGAGCTAGCACTCTACTAATTTTGAGTGCTTCTTTGTGGTTGCTTGGAGTGCGTGGATAATCAATAGAGATCGGATGCTTAGAAGACTATATGTTTTGTTAAAGAATTTAGATCTACGCTATAAGATGTAAATCTCTATTCATCGCTTTAATTCATGAATATATGATTAGTTTATTCAATGGTATGATCTTGAGCCCTTTAAATGGAGAAAATTTTTATTTTATTCGGCACCTCTATATGATGCAAGATCCTTCGGATAGGTCATTCATTAATAGGTGGTCTTAGAAAATAATGATAAGTTTATTATTTTTGTAAATATACATCTATCAATCTAATCTAAAAAGTATATTTATAATTTAAAATTATAATTATTTCCATGATGTAGGAGGGCGTATAGTCAATACAAGAAGCAACTACTAAGAAATAGATAAAGGGTGATTCATCGTCTCCAAACATCGACATTACCAAGACATATTTTGATGTTATATGAAGGGAGAAAAATAGAGAGTGTATGGCCTTGGATAAAAAACGTCCAAGCTTTACTCCCATTCCGGCACCAACTCCTTTTTTGCTACTTCATGGTATCTTAGTAGAAATATTCAAGAGGTTTTTGCCTAGTACAAAGATAGGATCAAGGAGATAGAGCTTACAATTCAAGAACCGGCCAACACTATACAAAGTCGGATGCGGATATTGATGGGGATGTTATAGGATCTATAGCGGACTCACATCTCATCCGCCGATTCCTCCACAACCCAAGAGTCGAGTCATTCCTCTCAATACCTTGTAGCCAAAAGATGATGTAGAAGATGATGATGTTGGAGATTATGATGATGAGGACTAGATTTCCTTTTATTATTTTTTTAAAGGTTTTTAATGTTTTAGTACACCATAACTCATTTATATATTTATTCGATTTCAATTTATATTATTTTTTTATTAAATAATATATTTTAAAAAGTTTTTATTTTTAGTTTTCTGTTACTACCATTAACATTATATAGCTATTAATTTAAATAATTTTTTTCATTTAGTGACGGATTAGTGACCTAATTAACGATAAAAATCAAACCTCATTACGACGGACACATATACAAGCACTAAATAGCGACAGATTTACAAAAATTTAGTGATTACAATTTAGCGATGATAATTTCGTCATTATTTAGCGACAAAATAACTAATTAGAGATGGTTTGTGATGGATAAGAGACCGAGGAGATGAATGTTTAATTTGATTTATCTACGAAAAAAAATTTCACGATAAGAAAATAGTGACGACCACATTTGCGACTACAATTATGTTATCGTAAATCCGTCATTAAGGCTAAATAGCGAAGAAAATGAATGATGTAGTGACAAAAAAATCTATTTCTATTTTCCGGCTTTTTGTAGTGTTTTATGAATTTGGATGATCAACATTTGGTAGATTGAATGTGTCCACCATTTTGGAAGATACAATCTTCTCACAAGTTTTCTCATCAATAATTAGATCACAACCCTTTTTGCATGATGTACAATGGGTGTGAAAGGTGTTTTCTTTAAGCCAATCCTCCTCCTTGACCATTTCAATACTAAGCGCCCAACAGATTATTAATAGCTTATCATCTTTTTTCATAGATTTCTCTTTCATCTGCATCCTCAATTCACATTATGCCCCAAGTACTATTAAAGTTCTTTAAAGTTTGAAATTTTTTAATTGGTGTTCATATTGTATCTCATATTTTTCAATGTTTTGATTGTTTTATCTTTTAGTTGTTAGTGTGAATCTGCAGTTTTGATTGCATATTAGTATAAAAAACTCAATTAGTAGTTTAAATCATTTATTATTTCTAGTTATTATTTTTACAATTCTGCAATGCAATCATCTTGTGTGGTCATAATTCCCTACCAAGGATAGTTACTCATAACATAAAATACCAAAAATATCATTGACATTAGCATTGATATACCTAGGATAGTTAATTTGGTTAATCTATGTACACATTTTGATTGTAAACTGTGTTGCAAATTGCTTTGCAATCATCACTTTTTTTTTTTTTTTTTTTTGTTGCTAAGTCTTCTCAGTTAAGACCAGTAAAAAAAATAAAAATAAAAATAAAAATGGTCACAATAACATGTACAAAAATTTATTCTTAAAAGATAATAACTGCTATGCGTAAAAGGATTATGAAGTTTTATATGTAGTGGAAACAAATACGCAGTAACCTCTATAATCTCTCCACAATATCCTTTATTAATAGCTTATGCCAACAATATGTTGCGCGAATCCAACATTATCATCTCCTTAATTTGACATCTTTTCTCCACTGATCAGAGAGAAAAAACACCAGAAAAATAAGAGCATAATTCAATATTTGCAGCTGGTCCTGCAGTATGGACCCAAATCATATGGTAAGAGAAATTGTTCGCATGAAATGAGGCATTTGCTTTACGTCAGCAAAGCATATGAAGTAACATCAAGCTAGTTGATGAGTAAACGAGGAATATTTTAGTAGCTTGGAAATGTGGGAAAGCAACAGAGAGAGATAGAGTCAACTAGATCCTTAAGTCGACAAGGGGAACCTAAAAGGAGTAATGAAACTCTAAGCTTAGTTAAATTGATTAGTCCTTTTTCATTTGAGTTAAGGATAAGCTGGTAAGGATATAATGCAAGTGAAATTATGATTGCACTATAGTATACTGTGCGGAACCAAGAAAAAGAAAGGCAAAAGCAAGGAAATAAATTAAAGTTGGAATGGACTCACTTTGAACTTGGCGTTGCATTTATGCTCTTAAAGAGTGAGCATCAGGTTCTTATCTGCATAAATAATTATGTAGCTCTTGGAGATTTTGATGCTTAAAGGACGGTAAATTATTTCTTTGAGTGAAAGCCTGTCTTTCGAAGTAAACTATTCACAGGGATTCCTAGAAACTTAATTATTCCTTAATTTTGTTTTTCCTTTAATGGTTCTTTAAATTTTGGTTATTTTTCTTCTTTGGTTGAATCCAAACCGGTTGTGGCGGTCCTCGATTAAGACATGGGTTTCGTACTTAATCTTAGTTACCACTACTACTACACATTCCTTGGACCACCTCATAAAAGCAGGTGTTACAACAATCAAACGAACAAACACAAACCCAAGAGATACAGATTTTGATCGTAGGTGCTCAATTAAAAGGAGGGAAAAATTCTTAAGCTTCATTATGTTTTAAGAGCATCATATGTATGCATGCACCATACAGTTAAGGAAGCCAGAGAATCCTTCTCAGTTGAAATACATGGCCGTGCTTCTGGAAAAGGTCCTTGGATCAATGCCAACCCAAATCTTATTATTAATCTCAATACTGAAACCAAAATAAAGTATTTGCGGAGAGACCAGGGATCATAAGAAGTGAAGATCGGGAGTCATGATACATTGTCTCTCCAATTGCAAATTTTTGTTAATATCCACCACCTGGAAACGAGGGCAATAAAATTCTTAGCATAGCAAAAACGTCAACCTAACCATTTTCATCTGCAAAGAAATTAAAGGAAGTGCAAAGGATGTAATTTGCTTACCGTATTCCCTCGGTGTTCTGCATTTAAAGCATTCCATCCTGCTAGCATAATTATGGACTCCACATCCCATTCTGTCCAATAAAAAGTGTGTCCGTCCATATTACATTAACTCTTTGTTACTAGATTAAGATGCAGAAATTAAAATAAAGTAGTTTTCCCTCTTGTGAAACACGACATTCAGCATGGCAATCCAATTGACTAATATTAATCAAAGAAAACCAGTAGGGTAGCACGAAATTGTAGCAATATTTGTCACCAGCAAACAATCCAGGCTTATCTCTTCTCTTTCCGATCTTCAACACAAGCATTTTTTTTTAATTGGTATAATATTATTAACTTTGCGTGCTAATTGCATTCTATCATTTCTCCCAATAATTCCTTAAAAAAGAAAAAGAAAAGAAAAAAAACCATGCAATGGTTACTATGCATCTTCAAACAATCTTTTCTGTTTTCGGTCAAAAACAAAACAAGTACCCTTCTTACGAATGAAATAGTATGTGGGAAATGCAGGAAAATCACGATAATATCTTCAACAACTCATGATCCCTGCGGCATGTAATGCAATTTGTATTCTAGATCAAAATCGGAATCACTGTCGAACGTGGAATCACAATGTGAATTACTCACCTAGTGCAAATCCAATCACCAGTTTTCCATCCCGGAGGATCACTTCCGTCACTGACATACCCACCAGCCGCTTGATCATTTTTTAGTGCACCACAACTGTGGCAGCTTGACCGGCTAGCATAGTTGTGAGCGTTACAGTTCATGGCTGTACAATACCAATCCCCAGCCAATACCTTTGTTGCATCGCACATGTAGGTTGCTGGATCAGGGCCACCATACTTAGGGTACCCGCAACGGTGGCACATTTCCCTTTTTTGAAATTCTGATGTTGACATGCGCTGCACATCCAGTCTCCTCCAGCTGACCAGCTCATTTTATCCAACCTTACCTGATATTTCATTGAAGGATATGAATTATTATTACAATTGGGGGACCACCACTTGATTTCATGTGTTATCGTAATGACCTGATGAGCCTAAACGTAATAGGCTTATTGTTCAACAATATTTATGGCATGATAATAACACCTAATTATCTAATATATCTATTACACGACTAACAAAATTTTTGAAAAAAATAAAATAGTGAATTACCCATCTCTCTATTTGTGTGCGCTTGTTACTCTTCCAAGACTAAGACTAAATGAACATGCATGCTGACAATTAGGCCTTCATCATCAGGTGTCTCGGCTTATACTTGATTCTAGCTGCTACTAATTAAGTGCACTGAAATGTGATGGTAAACATGCTAGAGATAATTGTAGTTCTAAGGTCATAGTGATTAATTACGGAACTCTTAGCTTCATTCTGCAACATTTGATCCTGTTATGGCAAGAATGCCTGATCATATCTATATATATATATATATATGGATGCGGTACCAGCGGCTACTTCTATATATATTAGGCCGTTTAAGGTTTATAAATATGGGAAGCAGCCAGAAACAATAGAAGAAGCTAACCTTATGCGAAGTGAAGGCTTGAGCCTTGAAGAACAATTGGCAGAAGAGAGGCACTGTTAATCTAGTTGTGCAAGATTATGAATATAGTTGGTGATTTTGGTGCTTGGGATGGGAGGCATTATATATTTGTTCAGCCCTGCCCCAACGTGTGGGGCCATTGATGGTATTTTCTTCCTTATCATTATTTACCTTTTCTTCAGATAGCTAGTATTCCGAAAGGGGATGTGAGAGATTTATCAGAGATAAGCCTGGTCTTAATTCTGCTATTCAATTATTCTTGGACAGTCTTAGGAGGCGCTCAAAAGGTGAGAGCTAGCTAGTCAGTACATGAACACATACATTTTTCCAATTAAAATTTCTCTAATTGTACCCCCTTTAAAGGATTCCCAGTGGCTTTATTGCCACATAATTACAACACTTTCAACTATTATTCCTTCTCCATATATCCATTCTACTACATATATATATAAGGTATTATGAGGGGAAGCTGTTATTTGAAAGGTGTGGAGGTAACGCCGTGATCAGTAACTCCATGGCCTGACTTAACCTGGACGAGACCGGTTTTTATTCACAAGGCTAATTAATAAAACTTAAGCTGGTTACTCAAATGCCTATACACAGTACCGAACTTTCATTGTTCCCAATAAATATACATGGTACTTAAGATTGAGATCATGTGTGTGCAATTTGTATAGAATTAAAGATTGTTCTGATCATGCATAATTAATACCTATATAGTATTAATTTTTCTACACAGTTGTTTTCATGTAATTCAATGTTTCGTAGGCTGTATTCTATGCAATCCCTTCGCTAATTTTTAATTGCCATGAATGAGAACATTTATATCCATGATTATTCAATGTGATGCTCGCGTGTGCATGCATCACAGGCGTACTATAGCTAGAACTGTTCTGCTCCGATCATAAATCCAAGTTGCAAATATATAAACCTTTACTCGAGTAGGTTTTATGTAGTCCAGGTGCACATGGTTCAGTAAAAAGGGTTGGACAAACACGTGAAATTTTGCATCAGGAAAGGAATCGGATCCTTAAAATGCACATGAATTGCCAAATTCCTTTTTCTTCCTTGTATTTGATTCCTTCTTCGCAATAATTCAAAAGCAACAGGGAAGATTCACATCCAATGCCCAACCAATCTTTGTCTATCCGCGCGTCCATTAACTTGAGTTGAGTGCGTATATGCATGTCTGAATTTCAACACTACTATATACTGATCGATGGCAATAATGAGACCTTGGACGTTTGACACGTGTCTTTACGGATGATTCTCCTCCTGTGACAGCCTGCCACGTACGTCTTCTAACATGATCCCGTTCCGAGAGAACCGACAGGTCTGCGTAGCAAAATCCCCTTTGATTATCATCACAAGGGAATGTTCCAAACAGTTTTTGCCAGCATTTGGATTGCGGCGGACCGACGCTGGGCAGAGTGGGCAGCTGTGTTGGGGGGTCAGATTATGTATTGAAACTGCAAAAAGTATGTGACACGTCGGAGTTGAGGCTTCCTTAGGTGTATTTTTGTATTTTTTTATCTTTTGTTATATATATAAGGGTGAGCAAACGGTTAAACGGTTCGGTTTTGTACGATTCGGTTCGATTTTTGGTTAACCGAATCAAAGAAAATAAAACCAAAACCGAACCAAAATAAATTCGATAAATTCGGTTTGTAACCAAATTATTTCGGTTCGGTTTCAAAATATTTCGGTTTTAACCGAAATGTTTTACTCGAAAAAAAATTCTAGACCATTGTTTCATTATCCGTCCTAAGCCACCATCATTTTCACCATTTACTATAAAAAAAAAAAAAGACAATAAGAAAACAAAGCCCTTAAATAGGAAATATGTTTTGCGGCTAACTAATCACGAGTTGACACACCTGAATGTCCTAAATGAGAGAAGATAAAAAAATATAGTTGTCTTCCTTCTTTTGCTTATTCTAAACTCATCAAGCATCGACAACATCCTAATTCTTGATTTGACCTCTATGATCTCCTTGCTTATCTTGCTAAAAAGCCATTGGGAATGAACCGCAGGAAACAAAATTTTAGACCGAATTAGTCACCGTTGAAGATTATAATTTTTCAACATCAATCACTATCATAACAAGATATATAAAGCAAGGTAAAGGTTACCAATATGTATAACATCCCTAATAATTTTACAATCATCATTCCCACTAAAAAATGTAGTCCAAAAGATTTTCATTAGCAATTTTGTGCGAGTAGAAAAGAAATTAAAACAGACTTTCTTTCGGTTTGTAAAATTCAAGCTCACGGAGACCTAAAACCATCTTACAATAGTAAGTTAATTTCATTTGATTGTTTTGCAAAGAAACAACTAAACTTGTAAAAGACAATTGATTGCGGTTAGTCATCAACTTTATTTAATTTTTTCAATTAATAGTTGACCAAATTAAGAATCTTAGAATTCATGAATGCCTCCTCCGACTCGATGAAGTGATGATGAAGGAGAATCGGAGAAGATGGAGCGAAGGATAGGGAGCTAGGGAGGCGCCGCTAAAAATTGATTTTGATTTAGTGAAGTTAGCCAATTAGGGTTAAAAAAAAAAATTTCTTTTTTTTCTTTTAATTTTTTCGATTTTTGGTGAAAACCGATTTTTTTTCAAAAACCGAACCGAACCGAAATAATTTCGGTTTTTCGATTCGGTTTTTAATTTTATAAATTTAAGTTTAAAACCGAACCAAAATACATAATTCGGTTCGGTTTGATTCGATTTTCGATTAACCGAACCATTTGCTCACCCCTATATATATATATTGATTATTTGTTAGTTTTAAAGAAAATAGGAAACCAATTGTAATATCCATTGATGGAATTAAATTAATCGATTACCACAATAAAAACAAGAAGTTAACTATAATCTCTTCTTATTTAAATTATAAACAAATTCAACATATTTAACTTTGTTAAGGATAAAACAAGAGATTAACTATAATCACTTATTTGAATTATAAACAAATTCCATATATTTAACTTTGTTAAGGATTGAAAAGGTAATCTCTTAATTATTGTATATTAAGAGACCATTGTTAATTGAGTTAGAGGCTTTTAATCTTTGATTGGAATGTATCAATTGATATGGACATGAAAACAAAGATTTTAATACCAAATTAATAAATACAATATTTTTCTTCATTATTACAAACCGAACTCGCACTCGCTACTTATATATTCAATGACCAATTATTATTATTATTATTATTATTATTATTATTGATGTTGTTATTATATTATCAAGCAACTTTCGGACTAATAATTTGTGTTAAAATATAGAAAAAAATGAAAAAAAATGCTATTCTAATTGATGATATTGAAATCACGAGTTTACATTTATTATCATTTGCCTTATTTACTAGCAATGTACATTCTAGAGTTTTACAATGGAAAACTAAAAAACTAACTTCCTAACTTTGCTATTTCTTGTGTCTCAATCATTGGCTCTTGCAGGTCCCGAGGTGCAATCATTCTCTTGGCTCCTTGGATCGGCTTGACTAATGGCGGTTGTTGCAATCTTCAAGTCTACGTGACACGGCCATTGTAACAAACACTTGGTGTGCAAGGTTAGTTACAACTCGACTCTCCTTTTTATTCTTCCTATAATGCTTCCATACATTTCACCATGCATTTTACCCACATGTACACTTCATATACATCTTGCATACATATATTTTAACACTCCCCCTCAAGTTTGGGATTAGAAACATATATACTAATCTCATTCTTGGATCTCCTTTTAGGTATCTTAGAACCCTATAAGTCGTCGCCAAATGAGATTGTTTTGGCCTATGCATAAACCGACTTAAAAGCTATATATTGTAGGAAAGATCCGGTTTGGTGATTGTCGGATAGATGAGCTTTCCTATGAGCCTTTGGTAACTTGTAGGATTTGCTATCTCCCGATCCTCCATATCTTCCTCCGTCCCTTCATCAAACTCTACCGTGATAAGCTTTAAGTCGTCGCTATAAACGTGTGTTTAGACATCTTATATTGATCATCCCGATCTCTTTAAGTAGTTTCGGAATGTATTTTCTTTGTGTTAAGCATATTCCTTCCTTTGATCTTGTTATCTCTATCCTTAAGAAGTATCTCGAGTCACCAAGATCCTTTATGTGAAATTTCTTATGCAAGAAATTTTTTAAGGTCGTTATTTCTTCCTCGTCACTTCCTATGATGATTATATCATCTACATGCAAGTAAGATAACCATTTTGTCATCATTCTTCTTTGTAAAAAGTGAATACTCATTAATTGATTAATTGAATCTTGTTTGTAACATAACCTTACAAAATTTGGTGTTCCATTATC